GTCACAATGGACGATCAAAGTTTTACATAGGAATATATAGGAAAAATCTTTAAAAATCTTCTTCTCAAGAACGGCAAAGCTATGATTGGTCATATTTATATGGAAGCATCCTCAAGTGGTGTAGATTCAAGTTTGTTCAAATCATGACCCCCCAGGGGTAGGGTGGGGCCACAATGGACGATCAAAGTATAACATAGGTATTTATAGGAAAAATCTTCAAAAATCTTTTTCTAAAGAACAGCAAAGCAATGATTGGTAATATTTATGTGGAAGCATCCTAAGGTGGTGTGAGTTCAAGTTTGTTCAAATCATGACCCCCGGGAGTAGGGTGGGAACACAATGGATGATCAAAGTTTTACATAGGAATATATAGGAAAAATCTTCAAAAATCCTCTTCTCAATAACAGCAAAGCTGTGATTGGTCATGTTTATGTGGAAGCATACTCAGGTGGTGTAGATTTAAATTTGTTTAAATCATGACCCCCAGGGGTAGGGTGGGGCCACAATGGATGATCAAAGTTTAACCTAGGTGTATAACGAAAAAATCTTCAAAAATCTTCTTCTCAAGAAAAGCAAAGCTATGATTGGTCATATTTATGTGGAAGCATCCTCAGGTGGTGTAGATTCGAGTTTGTTCAAATCATGACCCCCAGGGGTAGGGTGGGGCCACAATGAACGATCAAAGTTTTATATAGGAATATATAGGAAAAATCTTTAAAAATCTTCTCAAGAACAGCAAAGCCTCTGTTTGTCATATTTATATGGAAACATCCTCAGATAGTGTAGATTCAAATTTGTTCAAATCATGACCTCCAGGGGTAGGGTGGGGCCACAATGAAAATTCAATTTGTGGAGAAAAATGTCACAGTCAAAAATATATGTAAGCATCCTTAGTAAGTGTAGATTTAATTTTGTTCAAATCATACCCCCCACTCCCTTTTAGGGGTAGGTTGGGACCACTTATGCATTTAAGCTTTTCAACACTAAACTGATTTTTCTTTTTTCCTAGCCACAGTGCTCAGGTGAGCGATGTGGCCCCTGGGCCTCTTGTTATGGTTCCAGCAGAAAAAGGCTTGTAACAATATCGTTTTTGTTTGTAAGGTTCTTTATTATAACTGTATTTTAGAAGAACTTGTTTTCTAATTTTAATTCTACCTTTTTCAATTCAAAATATATATTCACAGATCACTTTCTAAGGATTGATTGATTGATTGTTTGTTGTTTAACGTCCCTCTCGAGAATTTTTCACTCATATGGAGACGCCACCACTTGCCGGTGGAAATTTACAAATTTTGACCTATACTCGGCACTTAAGGCCATTGAGCAGTGAGGGATCTTTTTCATGCCAGCATCTATTTATACTCGGGACCTCGGTTTATACGGTCTTATCCGAAGGATCGGTCTCCACGTCCCACAGTGGGATTCGAACCCGCGACGTAGGGATCAACTCCTTACTCCGCGACTCTAGAGCAGACGCTCTAACCACTGCGCCACGCGGGCGACACTTTCTAGGGATAAAAGTCTTCAAAATCACATTTCAGAGTTTAATACTTGTAACATCCAGTCAATAAGGTGAGTTGGATCTACCCTACATGTACTGGATTCATAAACTTCATAAAAAGCCTTACAAAGAAAGATACAAGTACATCGCAGGGTACAGTAAATGCTTTACCAAGCCCCTAGCTTTACTCCTAATAAAATTATTAATTGCTGTAAAGAAGAAACTTTAGACGTACTGTGCTACAGTATATTCTAGAAGTAGTGTAAATCAGATGTGGATTCTCAAAAGATCCAAAGAACTTAAAAAAAGAAATTAATATAACCAAATTTTTCTAGAGTCAATAACATCAAAACGTTCGTTTGTTCTATACTTTATACAACCATTATCACGATAAATTAGAAACTAGGCTTTTTGATATCATAGACAACTGCTTCTTAAATAAAAATGGATCTCTGAAGTTTTCGGATCTTTTGGTTATCAACAAAATTACTTCTTTAAAAATCAGTATGATTCTACACGAAAGTATTCTGAAATTGATATTAAAAGGATGCTGTAGTCCTCATTGACAACAATTATGTAGTCTACGGAGACCAGGTCTTCGAATACACTGTTGGATTTTCCGATGGGCACTAATCGTGCTCCTATATTAGCCGACTTGTTTTTATAATCCTATGAAACAGAATTTATTCAAAAACTTCTACATGAGAAGAAGAAAACACTTGTCGTGGCCTTCAACTCGACATTCGGATATATCGACGACGTTTTATCGATTAAAAATAGTTACTTCCATTCATATGTCGACTAGATATGTCCCACTGAACTTGAAATAAAAGACATCACAGAGTCTGCACCATCTGTTTCATACTTTACTTACTATAGAAGATTAGACGATATAGGTGTCATTAGCTTTTCCATCGTCAACTTTCCTTATTTACCTAGTAATATTCTGCTAACAGCTGTTTACATCTCCCAACTTATTCGATACCTAAGTGCATGCTCTAAGTACAATCAATTTTAAACCGAGGCAGACTATTGGCATATATTAATGCTACAGGAATTTCAATGACCTCGTTTAAAGTCAGCATATCGTAAATTTTATGATTGTTATAATGATGAAGTTAATAAATATTACCTATAATGGGTCGTTTTGTTGTTGTTGTTTGTTTTTTTTTTTTGGCCGACATGTTTCATACCAGTTGTTAGGCCTTTGTTTTTATGCTTAAATTGAGTATGGAATGTTCCGTCTGCCTGATCAATATATAGGACTCACAGCGGGTTTGACCGTCAGCAGGGGGATGCCGATACAGACAAGGGTTGAAATATATGGTAGCCCCATGTCCGGAGCTAGTGGTTTTAAGAACTGGGCCAGTTAATTTAAACGTAACAATAGTTCGTCGGACTAGCAGACCGGAAAAAATCTACTCCCTTAAGTCTTTCTAAATTTGACTACGGAATATTCCGTCTACCTAATCAATATATATGGCTCAGGGAGGGGGTCACCGATCAACAGGGGATGCTTACTCATCCTAGGCACGTGATCCCAACTCTGGAAAATCCGGGTTTTATGTCCTGTTCACAGATTTGTATTGTTTGCACCACTGTTCGCTACCTTCACCTTTTTCATCACACATGTATCGTGTGTTCATAAAATTTCCACATTACTTTTATTTTAAGCGTAATATGTATTGTAAATGTAATTTAATATACATAATTTTTAAATGGGATAATGGTAATTTAATGGAAAATATCCACTGAATTTATTGAATAATATTCAAAGTAATTAACCAGATGTTTGCTTGCGAAAGTCACTTCTTAGACTTAGAAAAAAACCTAATGATGAACAATTTAACGCGAATTGATTTTTTTTTTACTTTTCATTTATACAAGACATTGTAAATATATTTATAAAGAACATTAAGAGATGGAGTAATGTCACGAACCAATGACATTAACGTTTGATTCTCGACAACAAATGCCTCATAATCTAAATCTTACTTAAAAAAAATAAATTTGAAGTATTCTATTTGAAATAAATTTACTATGATGATTTTTCAATAAAGTTATTTATTACAATTTGAGAAGGGTCAAACAAACAAAACATAATTTAAGAAGTAAAACCGGATAATTATCGTTATTATTAAAAAAAAGGCTCAACCATAAAAGTGCCGTTTCGAAAGTACTCAGTCATGATATTCCTGATTATCGTTCATGCAATATCAGGGCGAACGATGTACATGTACATCCATGATAAAGATAATTCTCTTCCATGACCAAGAAAGTTGAGACGTTTTGAAGTAGGATGAGTAAAATTAAATTTCATGTTAACAGAAGTAAAAGTTCAAAATATTGCCTTCCTCTTAATGTGGGATTTCAAGGAAAAATGTCAAAATTCTTATAAAATTCGAAAAAAAAAATTAAGAAGCATGAAGATTATTATAATTCATTGCGTTTTCTTAGTCATATAAAAAAGAATTACTAAAGGACTGTGCGCTTTGAGATTGTAGCAAAAAAAGAAATAAAAGATGAAAAAAAAATAATGAAAAAATAAAGGTCTTGTACAAAGTAACAATGATACTACAAGATACACATTCTAACAAAAATATTAGTATTGAAATTCATGCCCAGTAAAACAAAGGTTTCATAAGTTCAAATTCTTGAAATTTCATTCACAGACATTGTGACATAGCTAACTTTTGTTGGATTTTTGGTATTTGTCTTTTGAGGAAAAAAGTAGATATATTTTCTACATCTATTTAAACATATCAAAACAAAAACAAACAAATAAATACAAAAAAAAGAGAAAAAAATTTCTGTATAAGAGGACTGTATAAGAGGAAAACTTATTATTAATTAATGTAATAAAAATACTTCCCTAAAACTAATTGGAAATAATTAACACCGATATTTAAAAAAGCAAACATGCTTTAATTACATGCAATTTTTAGACATGATAATAATTATAAATAAGGAATTGTAAGTGGTGAGAGAAAAATTTAAAAAAAAAAAAAAAAAAAAAAAACCATGCAAATCGCGATCGGATTTGCGATACTCCATTGACAGTGCATGTTTCATTTGCATCAATCGTGGTTGCTCAATAATCATGTTTATGTATTCTTTATAGCTTTATTTTTTAAACGATAATTCTACTATTAATACCCTTGAGTAGTTAAATAAAAAATTAAGAAAACATTTCATATTATTTCAAAACTCAAAATATTTTTTTTGCTTCAAGGCTTCCTCATTAACACTAGAGAATGCTATCTGCATCATTTTCAAACTTTTAAGTAATTAAGATACTAATCTCACATACGATTCTCAATAGATTAGCTCATTCCAGAGATTCATTTATTATTCAAGAATATCGGGGTCACAAGGAAGTTTAAGTTATGGATTTTACCAACCCATACTTGCCGGAAGATTTCTCAAACAGCGCGATATGTTACAAGCCATCAGGAAATTCGTAAAAAATGCATTTATTTATATATATCAGGGTGACATCTACTTCAACATTCTATAGCTATGATGGAGGAATGCAATAATAAACCCTGGATGTGCAGTGTTACGGGAGACTACTCTTTGATTTTAGACAGAATGATCATCTACATGACCCCAACTCCACAAGATGTCGTTGAAACGGGAGATGACTTCTTTAGTGATGAAGACAACTCTGCAAATCCTGAACAAACAGATGGTTTAATTTCTTGTAAATATATTTACAAAAGAGATACGGATACAGCATCACTGGCATCCCAAGGCAATAATGAAAACGTGGCAAATTTTGATGAAGTAGATGGTTTACATAAAAGGGATTCGGGTTCGTCTGTACGTATGTTTTTTTCACAAGCTATAATATTTTTCCCCATTTAATAAAAAAATCTAAATTTCAATAAATTTAAATAAAATACATTTAAAAACTATACATGTCAAAAATATTGTTCTCAAATCGATCAATTGATCTGCATATGCTCTGATAGAATATTTTTCTTAAGACTTCGAGTAGTTCAAGCTGTGAATCAGGCAGAGATTCAAGGCCCAGAATAAGGAGGAAAAGTAGAAAGTTCCAGAGTCTTTGGAGTCGGGAACCCATTTTTAGCTTACAATCTCTTAAAAATCCCAGAGATCGCACCGATGTATTTCATGTTGTCTCAGATGTTCACAGGGCAGTTCAAAATGGATTGCGGTAGGAAAAACATTTCTCAGTGAAAATAGAATAGATACATTAGTGAAAGAGTAAGAGGGAAGAATGGTTTTTGGGGTTTTCCTTTTTGAAATTCATAAATTCAAAATTAGTCATTTGACTCACATAAGCTTCTTTGGATATTAGTTGTTTTCTTATGCAGATACACGTAGGAACATGTTTTGTAGTTTAAGGTGATTTTATGCAATAATTTGTTTGTTTTTATCGATTCCCAAAAGAACCTATAGCGACGGGGGAGAAATCACAAAAGTTTGATAAATATATATCCAATCACAGAATATGTAGAACTCTCTTTATTACGTGCTTTTTTCCTATCAAAGCTATGTTCATACCTTTTCCCCTGACTCTTCATTTGGTAAAAAAGTTGAATTCCTTCCACTCAAGGATGCAATGTGGCAAGCTTTTTTTCTGAATTGGCTAGACTTGGAGAAGAAGTTGAAAATCTTAACATTTCAGAGGCAGCGCATGACAAACGACACACGGAAGCCGGACACGCTCTCATCAGAAAACTAACATGAGCCTTTGTCTTTGATGAGCTTAAACTCCACTGAGTCATAGTCATATGGTTATGGGGATAAGCATAGGGAAAAAAAATTGTCAATATGATATTTGTATTTTCGCCGTAAATTGTGGAAGAGATATCAGTCAAAATTGAACTCTATTTTTGCAATATCTTTCATTGTTCATAATCGGATCCTTGGCTGCAAACCGAGAAGGGTTTAATTATGTTCTTTTATAGGAAAAACGATAGAGTCATTGAAATCAATGAAAGAGACGTTCGACGTGAAAGTCCCCACAATGTAGACATTATCTGGAGAGGCCTCTCCAATGTATCCAAAGTAAAATTGGTAAGTCAAACATTATTTTTTAAACATAGGATCGAAAATTGGAGATTCGCCGTGTATGAAAGAACGAGATGTATTTTTGAACAGAAACGCCTCTGAATCTGGCCTAGTTACAATGGTTACAGTAGTTCCTGGACATAATAATTATGTCGTTTTATGAGCGTTTAAAAAATTGACATTAACGTTGTCAGTCAAACAGGTAACCTTGTGACTTGTAATTAATTTTTTTTCTTGGCAAGATCATAAATTAATATTCACAATAAAGAATAATATGAATTTGAAATTAAGTTCCCACATTAGCACGAGAAAAATAATAATTACTGTGGAATCATCATTGTTCGTGGGGGATCAATGTTCGTGGATTTCGTGGGTCACCCTTACCCACGAATTTACATCCCCACGAACAATGTGGACTATCCTATTAAAAGCTATAACTCAAAACACGAAATTTATTCATAACGATCGCGATGTTGACGATCATTAAGGTCAAGATCTAGTAAATGAAAGGTGCCTTCAGATTTCTCAAATTTGAGAAACAAGTTCTTTCAATGATCCTTTACAAATATAGCTTGGCGAAATAAGGTATATTGGGGCATAATTTTTAGGTAAACTCAACGAAAAAAGAGACTTTAAACTGCTATTTTCAATGAAAAATGAAGGAATTCAGGTATAAATATGGGAGTTTTTTCTTCTCAGAAAGAGAAAATGTATCAATATTGCCTACAGTCTCTCAGAAAACAGTTTTTCTTATCTTCTTGACCTTTTCTTTAAAATGATATTAATTTGTATATAGGTATCGGGGTTAATTTTGACATGATTTCAAATTGAATTCCATGAAATGAAATATATGGAGATAACGAACAGTATTCAAGCTCAAAAGTCCATTAATCAATACAAAATAGGAGCAGAGCAAACACGGACCTCCAAACATCAGAGGTGGGATCAGGTGCCATGGAGGAGTGAGCATGAAAATGTTTCATTTTCTACATAATTCTATAATAGTCGTAAAGTACGGGAAAATTAAGTTTAAATCAATTATGACGTCATAATGGATCTAGCACCAAAAAGACAGTCTAAACTCATTTACTAGATCTTGACCTTAAATATTGTATATAATGCGATCGCGAGTAGGTTTGTATTTGTTTAGTCTGAATGATACAGAGAGAAATAGAGGGACAGATAGGTAAAAAATTTTATACCCCCGATCTTTGATCTTCTCGATACAGCAATATTTGTGAGAGTACCAAATAAAAGTGAGAAAATCTTTTTTCAGAATAATATATTATATTTAGGACTATCACTGTCAGCCTTTTTTGAAAAAAGAGTAAAACGCTGCTTTTTCACTACGAAGGTAGTTGAGTGTTTTGTTTACTACAAATTTGCTTTCTGTTTTAATTTCTTTTTATGGTGACATAAAGATGTAAAGAGATTTATAAAAAGCTTAATTATATTGACTATTTCTAGTCTGGTAGTATCCTGGAAACGATAACGGTTTCATAAATTGTAACTCTCCTACTCTCCTACACGGCGGGAACGATTAGAAAAATATTAATCATTGTCATTAGTTATCTGCAAATTTTTGTGGTTAAAACATTTTGATTCTACACACAAGTATTCTGAGGTTGATATTAAAACATTCTTGAGTTTCTCATTGGTAATATTTATATGTAGTCTTTGGAGACCATGTCTACCACCAATCTTTTGGAATTCCCATTGATACCAATTGTGCAGACCTGCATGTTTTTGTACTCTATAAAGCGGAATTTATTTTTATAAACTTCTACATGAAAAGAAGAAGAACCTTGCTGTGTCGTTCAATATATCGACTACGTTTTATCAATTAACAGTATTCATTTTCATTCCTATATTGATTCAATATATGCCACTGAGGTTGAAAGAAAAGACACCAAATAGTCTGATACATCTGTTTTAGATCTAGATATTTTACCACAGTAAGACACTGATTGATGTAACAAGTAAACTTTCTGATAAACACATGTAACAAGTGAACTTTATGATAAACTTTTCTATAGTAACTTCCGTTATTTATATAGCTTTCACTTACATATGAAGTTTATGTTTCACAGTTAATTCGTTATGCAAGAGCATATTACATTATTATTTTTCTAAATCGAGGAAGGCTTTTCACAGATTAAGTTGATGATACAAAGATATTAATGCGACAAATCTGTTGGAATTCAACATTTCGTAAATTCTATGATCAATACAATTACCTTGATTGCAGATACATTTCTCTCGTTAGGTCGAATGCTGACTAACAATTTACACACAAATTGTTAGGCCATTATTTACCCGATCATGACAGGAGTGGTGTAACTGGTCGACAGGGGATGCCTCTCCTCCTTGGCACCTGATCCCACCTCTTTTTGAGAGGTCCGTGTTTGCTCTTCTCACAATTTGTATTGTTTCAATAGACTTTTGAGCATGTTTACTGTTCGTTATCTTCTCATTTCATTTAAAGAAAGCTAAAATATTTTTTTAACATGAAAGCCTTTTTAATCCTGTATATAACGTGAACGACTGTACACAAAATTGCTTTGGTCAAAATGTGTCTTGGTAATCAATTCAAAGAATTGAAAGAATTAAAGATGGAATGTAATTTGATATCAAATGCAAATTTGAATTTTTACCCTTTTAATCTTAATATCTGCAATTTGGCATCATGAAGATAAACACTGCAACACTGATTTGAAAAATGATTAATGAAATATGAAGATAACGAACAGTAATCAAGCTCAGAAGTTTTCAAAAACAATACAAATTGTGAGAAAAGCAAACACAAATCTCTAAAAGCATCGCAGGTGGGATCAGGTATAAGCATGCTCCGTCGACTGGTCACATCCGCCATGTGCTTTTGTCAGGATTGGGTAAACTGAGAAATTCAATTAGTATAAAAATAATGGCCTAACAATTGGTATGAAAAAAGTCAACGTTAGACCTAACGCCAGATTGTATTTGCAAACTAGATCTTAGCATCAACCATAAAATTTGCGAAATGTTGACTTCGGACGGGATTGTAGATACCCTAGTATTATCCACTTGGTTTTTTTTTTTCAAAGCTTGCCTAGTTTTAAAAATTGTTCGACCGAAGAACATACTATTGCGTATCAAATCCACTTTAAGACATAAACCCCACATGCAGGTGATAATAGTATATTGACACACGGATAAGGAAAGTTGACGATAGAAAGGTTGAAGTCATCACGTTTGTCATAAAGTGTTGTTGTTAGTTTGCCATCAATGTCTAATAATTTTTAGCTACAAAAGAAAATGAAATTTATTCTCGTTGCATATGATTATTGAACATCCGCTTTATCCCAACATAAAAGTCTTTAATTTAATCTATTTCTTTTGCTACAAAATTTATTTAAACTTTAAAAAGACACCGTCTTGCATCATATTTTAAAGACATATATCTCAAAACCGACATGAACAGAGAAATCAATCCCATCAATGTAATGTGAGAGAATGAATGGTTTTCCAATATTTATGCTATCATTTAGATATTAATCATATACAACAAAAACAACTTTAATTGATAATTAATTTTTCAGAAAGTTTGGCGTTGGGAGGAGGATAAAAATGGTCCAAACATTCGGGAAGTAAGGGTTGTTTTTCATCCCGTGCAGCCGAACTGCCTCATACGAGAGATATCAAAACTTTCACTAAGTGATAAAATACACAGAAAAGCGAAGAGTTTCACATGGTCGGAAATGCGATTTTTACCATTTCATATCCGTATTGCCAGTGAAACAGGAATTTATGTATCTGCCAACACTACAGACATGTCATTATATGGGGAACAAATGGAATTAGTGCCAGGAGACATAGATCGATGTAATGCTTCGTTTTTTCTTAAAAATTATCTCTATGATAGATATCATTGATATTTTCATCAATATTAATCATATTATGTTTGATACACTGACAATTAAAAAAAAAACTGAAGGAAAAAATTAAAATGAACGAATCTTATAGTAAAATTTTACTTTGATGACTAATAATTTCGATAACTAATAATAAACAAGACGAGAGAACAAAACCAATCTGAATAGTAATTGTTTTAAAAAAATATAATCATTAGAAACAATGCACGAAAATTAAACAGTATGCATCATTTATGCAAATACAACAACTGTAAATTCGAGTGCGACAATTTGCATAAATATGTTGATAACAAATTGTTTTATAAACCATGTAAGTAATTATGATTTCAATTATTGTTAATAATTTTCCCTTCCCTTTCATTTTGATTTAAAATTTTTCATTTGATGTTGTGTCTTAACATTTTGTTTTGTGTTAGTTCTAAAGGAAACGATTAAACTGTTCTTGTAAAATTCTTTAAATTTGACAATAATGTTCTGTTTTTTATTTCTCGATTTACATGTATGAGGAATGCAGTAGGAAAATATAATTTATATGATATCTGGTTAGCACTGTCATTTTAGTTCGTTTCTCTGTGAAGTTCTTTAGCTGCATTCTGGAGGACGAAGATCATGGGACAAATGCAAGGGTTGGATTTGTCGCTCAATTTATAGTACAAGATACATGTTTTGATGTATCTTCTGTCATAGCAGAATCAACTTCCTCCATTAAACTGAAGGTAGATCTTCCGTTAAAGAAATAGATAAACAAAAGATTATACATGTATCTATTAAAAAGAATGTGTAGAGGGTGTTGAAGCAATAGACAAGATATGTGACCTACTTAATTGTTATTAATGAGACGTTTCATATTTGAACTTTTAATCAGTGCTTTGATAATGATGTTAATTATCAAAGAACTATCTGCTTAAAAGTACATTCTGTAGATAAATACTCTTTAAATAGAATATTAATATTCAGTAACTGATTTTTGTTTTCTTCAGCCACACGTTCCCTATGACACAGACAACTTGGACGAACGGTTCATATTGAAGCTCGAAGTCCCACAGGAGGACAACTTTTTCGAGTCCTTGGCGTACAAAAGTAATGATATATATTTAATTTAAAAAATAATTATTCTTAACAAAAAAAGGACTCTATGAATTAATTTTTTTTCTATTCATAGACGTGTTTATGAAATACAACAATGACTCAAAGAAGCTGTTGATGCGTCAGTGCGAGGGTCCTGGACCAAATTTCTTGTTCGAAATGTTTGAGACACGAGGACCTAATTTTGATTCCACATTGAACATCTCCAGCATATCTGATATGGAAGCCGATATCTTTGTGTTTGAACCGATCAAAGAAAATGATGAAAATGGCGATTGAATTCAGTGGAATATTCTTTTCCTTTTGTATTTAACGATCTCATTGTTCTTGTTTTAATTTAAAATTTATTAAATGTTTTGTACCAAGATTAGTTATTTCGTTCAATCATGACATAGAAAGATTAAACAAAACGTACACTTGCTCTTTATTCATCACTTAATTTTATGTTTTTCCCTTAGGTTATGCAATTCTCCGGGTAATATTTGATAAATAGAAATATCACTGATAGAAAATTTTCAAATTAAATCAACATGAGACAGTCATAGCTTTGGTTATTAAACATAATTGCTGTAATACGTATATCGTCCGTCTTTCTTGAACCGTTCCGAAACTGGTGTAGTATTATCTTTACTAGTAAAAACATGAAAACTGACCTGGTAACTATGAAATTCCTTAACTTAAATCTGTCAAAATATGTCTTCGGGTGGAACAATTTAGTCTTCTTTACAATCTATGTTGCTTCTTGTCAAAGACAGGAGAATCTTAAGTAAATGTTATATCTGTTTAACAATTTATCATTACTTATAACAGAGAGCTTAGGAGAGAATTTGAATCACGTGAGAGGACCAAAGGCAAAATTCTCCCCTATTGTGATCGTCTACGTAATACTCTACCTGGTTATTTTGTTAAATGTAAATTTTTACACACTTGTATTAATGTCGAAGCAAAATCAGGTCTTTTCATAGAATTCATGCTTTATGGAATGATTCATAGGTTTACGTCCTTACCATGCATGCAAGTCTATATTCGATATTTTAGTTTCGTTTTTTTATTTTTTAATTTCGTTTTTTTTTTTTTTGTTATTTAATAACTAACGTTTTATTTGTAATTTTCGTTTTTTATTTATTTATTGTTTTTATTTAGTATTTTCATTTGTTATTAATTTTCAGTTCTTTTTATTTTTGTTTTTTATTCAATAATTTCTTTTTTTATTTTGTATTTTCGTTTTTTATTTAGTTTCAGTTTTTATTTTGTAATTTTGTTTTTTATTTAGTTTTGATTTGCACTATTGGGCTTCCGTACCACCCACTACATGTACAAACATCAAGAAATCAAGGAAGTAAATAATTATGAATTGGAAAAAAACTATGACTCATCCTTATTGAATGTGTTACAAAAGTGCACATGTCTTTTCTGTATTAAAAACCTAAAGAAGAAAAAGTTGTTCAATCTTCCATGCATTCTCGTTGGTGGGAGAGTATACAATACTTAAAACACTTTGGCAAACGTTTCCCTATCTTTGTAAACTATATAAAACTAAGAAATGAATGAAAAATGTAAATTAAATAAGGGTAACTGACGTCAAAATTTCATAAATATTATGAATTATTTAGCCAGACGATGGGCCAAACATGAAAAAAAAAGACACTGACACTTTGTTAATTTGGTTAAAGTATAACATGGATGTTAAATGAAATATGAAGGTAACGAAGAGGAATCAAAGCTCAAAACTGCATTGGAACAATATAAATAGGGAGCAGGGTAAATACAAACATCAGAGGTGGGATCAGATGCCATCGAAAATAAACAGTCCCATCCGCTGTTTGCTTCTTGTCATGATCAGACAAACAGAAAAAATCATTGTGAAAACAATATGTATGAAAAACGTCAGCCAACATTCTATTTAACGATAGATTGTATATGTTAATAAAGTGAATCTGCTAAATGTTGACGTTAAACGAGAAAGTTGATATCCTTGTTCCATCAACTTATTTGTCGATGGCTTGCCTCGTTTTAGAAATTGTTCGTACATAGAGCATGCTCTTGCGTATCAAATCAACTGGGAGACATAAACTCTATATACAGATGATAATGGTATGTTGCTACATAAATAAGGGAAGTTGGAAAGTTGAAGTCTTCACTTTGCGATTAAGGTCTTTATCTAGAAACATATCCAATTATGAAACAGATGTGTCAGACTCAGTGGCGTCTTTCATTTCGAATTCATAGGAATATATTTAATTATCGTAGGAATGAAAATAAATATTAATTAATTAAACGTCGTTGATATACTAAAATGTATTGAAGGCAAAACTTCTTCTTTTCATGTTGTAGTTTTTGAATGAATTCTGCTACATTTGAAAATAAAAATCAGGTTTGCTAAAAACGAGACGCAATTAGTAAACATGGTGATTCCATAAGATTGTCAGAAGGCTTGATCTCCAAAAACTACATATATATTGTCAATGAGAAAAACTCCAGCATCATTTTAGTATCAACTTCGGAGTACCTGTCTGTATAATCAAAAATATTTTAATAACATAATCTTGTAAATGACCAATGACAAGTAAATTTAAACGGTTAAGGGGCAATGTAAAATTCATCTACCCTTCTGTCTTGAATAATTCAGAAGTGAGAAAAAAATTAGATAGATTTCACTGGTTCAGCTGACAAAGCAGGTAACAACATTGTATTTCTTTGATAGTCTCACTATTAAAATTGCATTTTACAGGAACTTCGATTTGATTCTGCAATTGGGAATCCAACTTATACTCATAGTTCCTTTCTTAGGAGGAAATTCCTCAAATGATGTCAGTTTAAAATATTTTTAATATTCCCAACAATTGAAATGAATCTGGATTACCATAAACCTATACTGGATTCCTAAATTCATAAAAACAAAACCCATACAAAGATACATAGCTGGTTCCAGTAAATGTTCTACCAAACTTCTCTCCCTCTCACCAAAATATTAACAACAGTACAGGAGAAACTTCAGTAGTACTGTGAAAAACATATTCGATACATGATGTTACTCACATGTGGATACTTAAAAACAAGGAACTTTTAGTCAATTAGAGATCATGGAATTTACAAAAATCGATAGTATAAAAATGTGCAACTTTTCAACACTTTTTACAACCAGTCCCCACGATAAATTAAAGATAAATTAAAGACCAGGATTTTTGTTATCGTTGACCATGCATTTCAATAAAGATGTAACTACATCCATGTAACTTGTTACTGGTCATCTGCATAATTATTTGTTAAAAATATTCCAACTCTACACTACTCCGAAGTTGATATTAAAAAGATATTTGTGTTTCTGATTGACGATATCTATGTAATTTTTGAAGATGAGGTGTTTCAACAATATGTTGGTATTTCCATGGGTACTTATTGCGCCCCGATATTTGAAGACCTGTTTCATATTCATATGAAGCAGGATAAATTCAAAACTTTCTACTGAAAATAAGAGGTCTCTTGCTATGGCTTTTGATACGTCTTCAATATATCGCTGACGTTTTATCAATTAACAATATTCATTTTCATTCCTTCGTTGATTCGATATATCCCTTTGAACTCGGAATAAAAAACACCATAGGGTTTAAAATCTGTTTCATATTTGAAAATTTTTGTAGGAAAGATATTATTAGCAAACTAACAACTTAATTTATGATAAACGTGATGACTTCAACGTTTCTATTCTGTAGTCAACTTCTCTTATTTTGTAGTAATATACCATTATTCCATTATTACCTGCATACAAAGTTAATATCTCACCATTGATTTAATACGCAAGAGATGTTCCACGTACGAGCAATTTCTAAAACAAGGCAAACTATTGACAAACGAGTTGATGATACAAGGGTATCAATAGTCTCGTTTTAAGATCAAATAGTGCAAAGTCTAGGATCGATACAATGACCTCGTTAGCAAACACAATCCATCGTTAAGTCGAATGTTGACTGAAGTTTTTCATATAAATTGTTCGGCCACTATTTTCACACTTGTCTACGGATATTTCCGTTTGTCCGATCATGACAATGAGCACACGGCAGGTGTGACCAGTCGACAGGAGCTGCTTGCTCCTCCTTGGCACCTGATCCCACTTCTGACGATTTTTTTTAGATCCGTGTTTGCTTTGTTCCTGATTTGTATTGTTTCAATGGACTTTTGAGCTTGATAACTGTTCATTATCTCCATATTTCATGTAATTCTTCACTCAATTCTGAGTTATTGAAGACAGAGGGATAGATAGATTTCAGATTGCTTCTCAATGTTTTAATGCGAATTTAATCATCCATGTTATACTTTTAATCCATTGTGACAAAATGTCAATGTCTTCTTTTTCATGTTTAGACCATCGCCCGGCGTAATCTTTGACAGAATTCATAATTTTCATGAAATTTTGTCGCCAGTTGAAAAAACATGATTACCTAAATTATGGCCATTTTAGAATTAGTGACCCGAGGTTCTCATCGTTAATTATATTTATTTCATCAGTAACTACGGGTCCAGCAAGTTAAAGGGAGAAAAAAATGAACAGAAGGATTATGCTTCAGATGTCTAAAGGTAGACACTGAAGAGATTAAAAAAGTTTGAAAGCAACAGTCGATGGATATTTGTAAGGAGTACAACGTGTGGACTTCAACTTAAATCATGGTGGAATACAAGACTGGACCTTTTTTTTTATTAAGAATATTATTAAACGAGAATAGCAAGTTCATTAAATTATGATCTTTGAAGTGCATTTATTATCCAATAGTCAAATCAATGAGGGGTAACTGACAATGTTCATTTCTCAAGGAAATGTATTTCTTATTTAGAGGTACAATTTATATAGATTCCAATGGCAAGTAACTGTTTGAGCTAGAACTATTGTAGAAGCTCGAAGTTTTTTTACGGATTGCAACATGGACTTGATAAATCATATGAATTTATGAAAATGGTTTCCAAAAAAGTTTGCTGCATATATCTTGAGGAATTTTATCTTATTGCATTAAGAGTATGCTTGATTGTTTAGACAGACTCCAAACGAGTGGGAGATTTCCAAACAAGAATTATAATAGGTTATAACGCTCATCCACTTGCTGTGAGTGGGATAGCTCTTTCATCAAACCCTTGAGAGGAACTATTCCCCTCGGGCAAGCCCTCGGGGAATAGTTCCCTGTCGCGGGTTTGATAAGAGAGCTATCCCACTCACAGCAAGTGGATTAGTGTATAATATATACTCGTCATTGACCTTCAATAGCTCAATGACCATTGTTTGGAAAAAACACGCATAGTAAAACTTCTCATATCTTCTGCATTCTTTCTATTTGATTTAGTTCCCCTAATATATACTGAAACGCAAAAGAAACGCAACATCCTATTTTAGGGG